CCTAACAATGTTATCTCAGGAGATTTATCAAAACCAAGTTTCTCTTCGTATCTACAAAAATAAAACGATTAGATCAAATTAATATTTTTAATTTTAGATAAATAAATCGGGAACCGAGACGAGATGTCTCCAGTGAGCCCAATCAAAACAAGTGGAACCACAATATTTAGGGGTTGGTGAACAAGAGACTAGGGTATAGGAAGCCATAGACTTGGCATTATGAACAGAAGCCCAATAGATACAGCGGAGACGAGAGCTAGTTGGCTAACATCAGGCATGAATGATCATAGTCGTGATCCGTGAGGCAAAGGCCTGACCATGAGAATTACAGGTTTCACATATAAATTGATGATAAGGGGATCTATAGCCTCAAGTTAGTCTCCCACTCTGCTTGAGAATCCAGACTTCAGGGGCTTGCTCAGTGAGGCGGGGATATACATGTCATCGAAGGTTTGAGACAGAATATGGAAAATAACGCCTCGAGTAGCACAAATAGACTGGCAGTGGCCGAGTGAAATCCCTGAACCAGAGGGATAAGATACGAATCCTACGGGGCAGAAGAGAGACTCTGATGGATCCTAGGGTAAGATGATTGAATACTAATGAGGCAGACTCAGGTCAACAATCCCAGCAAAAGGGTCAAAAAAGCCAGCATAGGATAAGAATAGGTCTCATAAAATCTGCTCAAAAAGACACGACAGAACCACGTTTAAATAAGCAAGTGAGAAATTGTGTTAGTGAAGGCGTGATAAGAGGGTATAGGACAGATGAATGCTCCATGACAGAAGAGAAGGTATAACTGTTTTGCAGGCAGTTGGTTAAAGGATCGACCTCACTTGTCTTTTTGACGATTCGTAAAATGGTATTCAGAACGACAAGGCTCAATGACTATGCCGGCGAAACGCCTGTGAATGTAGCAAGTCCTCGGTCTGACTCTGAAAATTATCATGAGTACTATGGAATACGGGAAAAGGTGCATTCCTCTACGTCTTCCTGCCAATATGACTAATTTGCTAAAACAAGGTCAAATAACCAATATACAACGAAAGGAGACCGCAACTATACAAAGGCAACACCATCTTGGCCTTCATATCTTTGATTATATTTTTATTGCTTTTGGATATACTATACTTTCACACAATAGACAATAGTACCTATCTAAACATGTATCAACATTAAAGGATCGTAGGCTAGTTTATTTATCTATGTAAAAAAACAGCTACCATTAAATCCATTTCTATTCATCGATTAACTTCGCTCAACTGCAAGCATGCAAAGTGATTTGAGGTTACTAACCAAATCATGGAATGTTCCATTAAGATCTTAAGGTTAAGTGTATAAAAAAGTGACTAGAGTTGCAGCCGGCCACCTTTCCTTTTGCTTCAGTATATTCTTTGCGCTATTTCGTAAGGTATTGATTCAAGCTCTGATGATGTCTGTCATAGCATAGACGAAAGCTTAACATAGGTTTATCAGGCTCACCGGACAACGTGCCGAAAACTTCGTCACACAATCTACATTCTTCACTTCACGACAATCCTCCCTAGGTTTACAGTGAGACCATTTCACAGATTCCTTTAAACCAACTTTTCCTTCGAAGCGGATAATTATGTCAAAATATATCATTGATGTATTCTTTGAAACAAAATTTTTCTCCATTATTTGTATTATGGCAGAAAAGGCCCTGGCATTAAATAATGATTGAATTGTGATGACATTACAGTCTAAAGGGGAAAACCAAGTCCTTATCTATTGTAATGTCGAAGTACATTTTGCAATGTGCTCAGCCATATTCAATCCTTCCGTGCCCATATCTTGGTGGGACTACTAGTTTTCTTTAATTTGCATGCTTATTTTATTGGCCATTAATATAGCTTCCTACACAATTATTTTATTTGGTAAAATGTACTACTATAAATACAGTTAGTTAAGTTTCTTTCGTTGCGTATAAGTTCGTTAAGTGTTATTACCTATGCATTGATCTTAAGAACGATCTAGTTTATTAGCAAGGCACAGCACTCTATCCGATTCGCAGAATACGCCACAATTGCGGGACACTATTCTTATTTTTTTATTAAAATCCCTATTTTGTCATATAATCATTATGACCTCATTAGATAGTCGTCCCCGAGCAACGTTCAGGTAAGTTTGCTTACAGCATCTCCATACAATTCCATTCCAATTTGGCTTGGACTTATTATGCCCATGCTTCTTGTCACGAGCGAAACTCGTTCGTATTTTAAGAGCGGCCAGGAAAATGTATCCTGTCCGAAATATTATGCTATAGTATCAATGATTATTTCCGGTGTCGGATCATGAACTTTGCACATTCCCAGATGTTTTACCGGCATCGTCAGTGAGCTTTGTCAATCTTAGCACTACACTACAACTCGTAAGAGGCAAGTAAAGTCTACCCCTTGACTGTCTGTTGTCTTATATATTCATTAAGCCCCATTAACTGTCACTTGTCTTTTTTAAACTTGGTCCAAGTGTGAAGTTTTGAGCAGATTTAGTGAGATATACTTAGACTCCACGCTGGTTTCCTCCTTCTCTATTATGCTGAAATTGTTGATCTACACTGGTCCTTTTAGTGAAAATCTACTTCGGCCATGTCCTATCAGTCTCTTGCTCCTTAAGATCCATCTCTTATTTCCCCGGTTCCGTAATTTCACTAAACCACTACCATCATATCCATGCTACTCTAGGCGTTATTTTAAAGACTGCATCAAGTCTTTGATAGCAAGAATACTCTAGCCTCACCGAGCAAATTAAATGCAAAAGTAAAATAACGCTGCAGTCTCTCTTAGCAACCTTCAGCATGTGCACTGAGTAAATCTAGTGTCAAGACTTTAATTCAGAAACCGTGTCTACGATCAAGCCTTTGCACTTTGAGCCAACTATCTATGGTCTCCGCTGCATCTTTCGCGCTTCTATGCCTTTCATATTCCATAGTCTCTTAAATGCAAAATCCTTAATGTTTTAGCTGTTTATTTGCCTTGAATCGGCTCAGTGCTGA